TATATCCTTATCAATCACTTTGTTGTTGCCCCATTCAGCACATCCAGCTATGATTCTATGTCTTGTCTTATGAGGTAAAATATAATCTCTACAGGAAGTGCTTGTTGTTCCATTCTGTAAGAACATCCACAAGCTGAAAGACAGCTCTACAAGTATAAGAAAATAATATAGAGATTATAAACGTACTTTTAGTGCTTATTTTTCAAGTCTGTAACAACAAGCACTTCCCATGGGGATTATTTTTCCTCATGATACAAGACCTAGATTGATGTGCTGAAGGAAGTAGCAACAAAGTGATTGATATAGAGATAAACATGAAAGCTCGAGAAAATGTAGAAGGCCAGATATTGTTGTCTCGACAACTACTTTCTATATTGGCTTTGATTAATTATCTCTTTAACATAAACTTTTACTGCTGCTACCTGCAATCCTGTTTGTCAATTGTTCTTTTGACTATGTATGATAGTTCAACTATATTCATGTCATATTTGTTTGGCTAAATTGAGTAATTTTGGCTTGAATTTTGTTTTTATCTTAAGGAATTAGACATATTTTTTTCTAGTTTTATTTTCTTGCATTTCCATTGTTGATCTCTATACTAGTTGAGTTATTTGTACCATGTCTTTTTAGTTTTGCTCTGCACAAAGTAACACCAAATCTTAGGAAATTATTTTGCTTTCACATTGTTATTCAACATTATCTTTATTATTAATTCAACTGTTAAACTTGTATGTTTTAGATTCCTAGTATAAATTGGGTTAATGTACGTATTGATTCAACTTACTTCAGATAGTCGATTTCCATCCCAATTCAAATTGTTTTGTGTTCATTGATTGTCTTGATAACTGAAAGTGGTCATTCTATATGCTTTCTTCATCATATGGTTTTATTGATTAAGACCCTCATAGGCACAAGAAGAGGGGTTGTATGGATGGTGTAACACCCCAAATATTTATGATAAGACCCGAACCGTTCTTTATTTGCGTATATATTCGTTATCAGGTGATTCTTAAATTCTTCATCCGTGTTAAGGTAAATTATTTAATGTTTGAATAGATTTTGAGATGAATAAAGGTCACAAGAATTCTCTAGCACAAATTTTAGTTTAAAGCTTCCTTACCGATTAAGTTTTGGATATAAGATTAAACTTTGGTTAACTTCAAACAATCATATCTCTCAGAATATGATGAATAAGGTGACATATGACCTATCACATTAAATTTCTATGAATCTTCTTTCCAACGCCACCTAGTTTGCCTCATTTTGAGTTCGAAATAAAAAACTATGACTGTTTTACCAGAGACTACCACAACAGAGTTTTCAAAGAGGATGATCTTTCTCTCTCACTTTCAAAGAAATATAGTCCTATATTTCTTTGAAAGTGAGAGAGATAGGCCATTCTCTTTTACAACTCTATTGTGGTAGTCTTTGGTAAACGGTCATAACTTTGTATTCTGAACTCTAAATGAAGCAAACTTGGTGGCATTGGAAAGAAGACTCATAGAAATTTAGATTTATAGTTCATAGGCCACTTAATTCATCATTTACTGAGAGATATAATGGTTTGAAGTTAACATAAGTATAATTTTATGTCAAAACTCAATTGGTAAGGAAGCTTTCAACTCATCTTTGTGCTAAGGGATTCTTGTGACCTTAATTCATTTCCAAATCTATTCCCACATTAAATAATTGACCTTAGCACATAAGGACAATTTAAGAATCACCCGACATGACCTTATACGCAAATGAATAATGGTTCGGTTATTAACTTAGAAATTTTTGTGGTGTTAGCACCATCCACACAACCCCTCTTCTTGTGCCTATGAGTGTTAATAAACAATACCATACAATGAAGAAAACATATATAGTGACCACTTTTAGTTATCAAGACAAACAATGAACGCAAAATAATTTTTTATTTTGATAGCACTAGATTATCCCAAGTTAGTTGAATAAAGACGTATATCAACCCAATTTATACTAGGAAGCTAAAATATACAAGTTTTACAATTTAATTATTAATAAAGGTAAAGTTGAATAGCAATGCCAAAGAAAAACAATCTCCCAAGAACTGGTGTTACAATGTGATGAGCAAAACTAAAATGATATGGTACGAAAAATCAACTAGTACAGAGATCAACAGTGGAAATGTAAAACCATAAAGCTAGAAAGCATAATGTCTATTTTCTTTAGAAAAAAACAAAATTTAAACTAGAATTACTCAATTCAGCCACACAAATATGACTTGAATGTAACTGCACTATCATACATAGCCAACAAACAATTTACAAACTAGATTGCAGGTAGCAGTAGTAAAAAAATTTGTTAAAGAGATAATTAATCAAAGCCATTTCAGAAAGTAGTTGTCCATACAAAATTGTCTAGTCTTCCTACATTTTCTCCAGCTATCATGTTTATCTCTATATCAATCACTTTGTTGTTGCCCCCTTCAAAATATCACTCTATGTTTTGTCTCATGCGGTAAAATAATCCCCACAGGAAGTGCTTGATGTTCCATTTAGTAAGAACATTCACAAGGTGCAAGAAAACTCTATAAGCTAAGAATAGAATATAGATATTATAGACATACTTTGAGAATCACTGCACAAGATTGTAGATGCAAGTATAAGAAGCTAAACATCACTTATAAGCGTTCTCATCACTAAATCTTTGGTACACATGAACTCCACCAGAGCAATATAATAGGAAATGCAAATCCATTTCAAGTAAAAATATGCCTAGGCAAGGGTGCACTTCTACTTTGCAACACTTAGCCCTTCCCGAGGACTTTTTTTTCACAAAATTGATTTACATTTCCCATTATTTTTAGGTATGAGAAATATACTACTCTGGTGGAGTTCATGCGTACCAAATATTTAGTGATGAGAACACTTATAAATGATGTTGAGCTGCTTATACTTGCATCTACAACTCTGTGCAGTGATTCTCAAACTACGTCTATAATCTTTGTATTCTTTTCTTATACTTATAGATCTATCTTACACTTTGTGGATGGTCTTGCAGAATGGAACAATAAGCACTTCCTAAGGGGATTATTTTACCCCATGAGACAAGACATACATGGATGTTCTGAGGGGGCACCAACAAAGTGATTGATATGGAGATAGACATGATAGCTAGACAAAATGTAGGAAGGCTAGACATGATAGATTGATTAATTAGATCTTTAACATAAACTTTTACTGCTGCTACTTGTAATCTAGTTTGTGAAATATTTGTTGGCTATGTATGATAATGCAACTACATTCATGGCATATTTGTTTGTCTAACATAATGCTTTCTAGCTTTATGTTTTTGCATTTGCATTGTTGATCTCTCTTCTAGTTGAGTTATTTGTACCATATCTTTTAGTTTTGCTCACCACAATGTAACACCAGTTCTTGGGAGATTGTTTTGCTTCCACATTGTTATTCAACTTTAGCTTTATTAATTATTCAACTTCTCGAATGCTTCCGACCCTATGAACTTAACTTTTTTTTGGGTCAATATCGTTAATGGAGAGGCAATCAGTGAAAACCCTTCAACAAACCTTGTATTGTAACCGGCTAAACCTAAGAAACTTATAATATTTGGAAGGGATAAAGGTCTAGGCCAACTCTTAACCGCATACATCTTCTTTGGATCTACCTCAATACCCTTACCGAAAAAAATGTTACCAAGAAAAGCCACAGACCATAACCAAAAATCACATTTACTAAACTTTGCAAAGACTTGTTGGTCCTTGAGGACTTGCAACACATTCCTCAAATGATCGGTGAGCTTGTCTTTACTACTTAAATAGATCAATATATCATCAATGAACACAATTACAAGCATGTTGAGGTATGTCTAATCACCTACAAAAAAACCCTGAATTGCCAACAAAAGTATCCGTTGCTAAATTGATTAAATTGGTTGGCAAATGATTTTTCCAACCGAATACCAACTAATGTTAGTCTGTTGCTAAAAAGCTTGTCACTAAATTTTACCAACCCATTTCAGTTAGTTGGTAAACACATAAAAACTTGTTGGTAATTGTTGAAATGTGGCCTTGGAATTTTCGTTGGTAAATTCACCAACCAATTTTCGGTTGGCATATTGTTGGGAAGTTTACTAACAAAGAGAAAAAGAGTTAGTAAATTTGGTTCTTCACTATTCAATTATGTTAGTGTTACGTTGGTAAATATAGTAAAATAAAATAAAATGTTGTTAGTATTTGGTTAGCAATTATATAACAGATAACAACTTGGTTGGTAAGCTCGATAGTAAATTCACCAAAATACATTGGTAATCAGTTAGTAATTTCAGTTAAGAAAAAAATGTGTTGGTATTTCGTACCAACGAATTTTAAATCTGTAACTAAGAATGACTATCTACTCCTGTAACTTATGTTACTAATTGGTTAGTATTTTAGAAACACAAAAAGCTCATTAGTAATTGGTTAGGAAGCTTACTAACTTATTGTGATTTTGTTGGTAATATATATCATTTATGGTCAATATTCGGTCAGTGATTGGTAATGTATATTGCCATATTACTAACTAAATGGTAATTTGATAGTAAAGTTTCACTTTATATATTTATATTAATCAATAGCTTTTACGAATCTTAAAAAGTCCGAAAACATAATAAAATCCAGTGGTTCTTTGACAAATTACAACTTGAATAAAACAATGCAAAAGCTAAGATGAAGAGTTCAAAACAAATCCAAATACAGAAACAAACAATGAAAGATCTGCTACAATAGTTTTAAAAACAAACCATGAAAGATCTGCCTACAATAGTTTTGCAATTTTAAATGACTCGTATCATTATTTGATGATGGGTCATGTCTAAGCTAATGTGGTGTACCAGTTGGAGGTGTACCAGGGGGTGGTTTAGGCAGCCCAGCTATGAGGATGGGCAAACGTTCTTGGAGAATCTTATCAACTTGCTCTTGCATTTCTAGTTGCATTTAGTGTTTCATTTCTTCACGCAATTCATGTTGTATCTCTTCTCACATGTCCTCCTTCATCTCCTCCTTCATTTCTTTAACGTATTCCTTCACCCGAGCATCAAAATCACAATCTTGAGGCTGAGCAGTTGAAGCAGATAATGAACCAATGTTCTCATAGAAAGTTGCTTGAGAACCAAGACCATATATACATGCCTTCTTAACCCCACCCACTTCATCCATGTAAATCATTGAAAAATCAATTGTCCGAGACTGACCAGATTCATCTACAAGTTGAGATGCAGATGTGATCTTAGACATAACAGCATCCTGAAAAAAATAAAATATATGATATTACATTAAGAAAAAATGTCTAGCAATTATAAAGAGACAACACAATTGCTATCAGTGAACTGCATCATTGGTAGTAGCCATTTTAGACAAACTTTAATCAGTAGAGGCAGCAGTCAAATACCACATTATATCACTAGCAAATTTTCATATAATACTACATGGATAAGATGATAGAAATGTTAGATGCAAATTTATGATTTAGAATCCTTATAATTATCTTATAGTACTAGATATCCATATGGACTCAGCCGAATGTTGCCTATGTGATAGGAAAATCACACAAAATTCCCTTCATTTGTTTGTTGACTGCACATGGACCAGAAAACTTTAAAAAGGCCTCATAAATTGTCTGAAAATGCAACTTCAAGCTGGAGACATTCTTTTATCAAGTATTTTATTCATCTTCCTAAAAAATATAGATACAGTAATCTGTTGGATCCCCTTACAACCAATGGCATTCCTAGTCAGATTTGAAGATAGTAAAATTATCATAGTTACAAGGAGAGATGAGATAGATTTCATTGATAAGGGGATAGAGAGGCCTACATTAGCAACAACCAACAAACCAGAAGATTGAAAGTGGGTCAAAAGTTGATATCTACATTCTTTTTCTTTACTATACGAATGGAAGGTTTGTTTCATCTATCCCTGTTCATGTAGGCCTTCACCTGGATATAGAGCTCATTCAAGGTATGATAAAACTTAGTAATTTAGAGGTCATCACTTAGAGAAGCAAGCTTTTCAGCAACTTCTTTACTCTCCATGTAAACATGTTGACTATTGAAACCATTCACCACTTTGAGCTTCTTAATGTCTTCATTAACTTCCATTTACTCGAAGGAGCCTGCTTTTACCCTTAAATTGCCTCAATTAGATGCTTAGAATCACTTTCAGCTACTATGGATTGAATCCATTCTCTAAACACCAATTGATACAGAGCTAACCCTGTAGGAAATAAATGGCATACAGGTCACTCACTAGTCTGGAAATATAGGATGAAGAATAAAGACACCATTGAACCCCGCATTTTCTGGAAAATTCACTCAGGTACCAGTTTGTTTTGGTGGGACAATTGGTTGGGGGATGGGACTTAGCCCAACAATGTGATCACATCACCAGTCTCAACAACACTATGGTCTCTCAATTTTTGTTAAATGGGCAATGGAATGAGGCTATGGTTAGACGATATGTTCCTCCACTCTTGGTTCCTAGAATTCTGAGCACTCAGATTCACTACCAAACTGGAGTTCAGGATATAGCTATTTGGCAACCCAATGAAAGTGGCATCTTCTCTTGCTCTTCAGCCTGGGATCTCATTCGACAAAAGAAGGACAAAATTATTTTTTACTCACATATCTGGCACAAACAGGTCCCCTTTAAAGTTTCCTTCTTTCTATGGAGAACTTTGAGGAACAAGATTCCAACTAATGATAAGATTTGTAGCTTTGGGGTCGAGCCAGCAAGTTGTGTCTGCTGTATGAGCCCTGGCCTGGACAGCAGTGAGCATATCTTCATAACAGGTAACTTTGCTAATTATATTTGGAAATTTTTCTCTAACATGTTTGGTTTGCAGCACTTCTATGTTTCATTAAGACAACATCTATTGAGATGGTGGGGTTTGGAACCTACTAATGAGGTCCATAAACTCATTATCCAAGTCCTACCTATCAACATTTGTTGAACTTATGGAAGAGCAGCTAAGTATGGAGGTAAAAAATCCAGCACTGTCAGAGTTCAACACATGATCTTGAGAGACACTTTGCAGCTACTCAAAAATCCAGCACTGTCAGAGTTCAACTGGGCAGAACTGATCACTGCAGTAACTAGGTGCAAGCAGGAACTCAAGATAAGTGTCATTAAGTGGGAAAAACCTCCTAAAGATATCCTCAATACTGATGGAAGTGCTTTGAACAATCCTGGTAAAATTGGGGGAGGAGGAATACTTAGAGACTGTCAAGGCAATTTGGTTTATGCATTCACCATTCCTCTTGGAATTGGAACAAACAACCAAGCTGAGACTCAAGCAGCTGCACATGGGATCTACTGGTGTGTGCAACATGGCTAACGGAGGATTATCCTTGAAGTGGACTCAGAATTGATTACAAAGTGGATCAACAAGTCAAGCCTCCATGGAAGCTCCAACAGTATGTCAAGGACCTCATGACACTTATCAACCAGCTGGAATTTTTCCAATGCATTCATGCATTTAGAGAAGCAAACTCCACTGCTGACTTCATGTCCAAAAGAAGCCACAAGTCTGATATTATACACCACTTCTACACTTATCAACAATTGCCAAGAGTTGTCAAAGGAAGCTACTTACTTGAGAAAATGGGGACTGTTAACTTCAGGAGGAAAAAACTAAAAAGGATTAAAAAGCCACCATGAAGATTTCAACTGCTCCCTGTTTGTATAGAATGCTCTATACTTTTTGATGCACCTTTTCTTTTCAATTAGGCTATGTCTTTGTTAGGTTATAGCTTCTTTGAATAGGTTTAGTTTCTCTTGTGATGTAAAGGGAGAGTCTCCCTTATTTACGTTTCCTAGTTTCTTGTATCGAGAGGAGTCCTCTCATAGGTGCGTAGAGGCTAGGTTTCATTTTTAGTCATTGGGGAAGGGTTGGTCAACCTTATTAGGAAGACCGACTCATGAACCATCATAGGATCGGAGGTAAGGTTTATGTCCCCCTCCTTGTACTTTGGTTTTATTTATTTATGTTAAGGCCTAAGGGTGTTGCTAAGCCCCTGACCCCCCAAGGGTCATTAAATAAAATAAAAACACCAATTGATACCAAAGATTAAAGTAGAGCCCTCAGCCCAATTTTTAGTACCCTTGTTCAAAACCAATGAGTACGCAACAATCAGTAGACCATCTTTGTCCCTAACAATACCCCCTCCACCACACTTATCATTTCTACAGCTGAAATTAGCATGTATTTTGACACATACCTATAGGTCGGATTCAGTGTACGTACAAAATGGTCTTATCGATCCTAATGTTCCTGTCCAAATTACAAGTTATCTCCTCCCAATTGGGTCCCAAGTTGATCTCTTGGAACTAACATTTTTCTACTTCATTTAGAGTAAAAGAAATGTTGGTTAGACTTCTTGACATACATCTTCTCAGTACCAATTTATCCCACATCTTACTCTCCAAATTTCTCAAGTAGTAATGATAGGGATAATATTAGAGATCAAAGCAATCACAGAATTATGACTCCTGAATTTCTATCAGTTAACTGAAATTTTTATATAGGATAAGTTTACCAATGAATACCAAACATGTCACATACGATTTTCCATAGTTTCTTGGCAATCACACCATTATAGAAGAGATGCTACATTCCATAGCATGTGACGAGCAGCAACAACATCTAGAAGATTGGATAATCTTCATCTAGATAAACCTATTATTTGTGGGTAATCTGTCCATAATCTTCATCTAGATAAACCTATTTTTGTGGGTAATCTGTCCCTCAAAAATCTCTAAACAATAAGACACATCTTGAAAGGCACCATTTTTTGCCAGGTCATAGAGTTGATCCGTGTTTGCTAACATTTCCTCCTAAGAAGCTATCAGGTTGAGACTCAGGCCACTGATAAAGAACCTTTCACATCAGTGAAGCAAATAGAAATATCAAGCTTAGTAGGAAAAATTATGCGAGTTAGATAAACAAAGAGGGTTCTTGGAGGGTACTTAAGGAGGACACACTAAAAGCAAATTAAAATAAAGCTAGTGGAAGCTACATATGGGAACTTATTGTTTATGATCATACTTAAAGGCTAGGAATTGGATAATTTTTAAATAGCAAATTGTAAATACAAAAGAAAGTGCGAAGATATTTGTCTTTAATATATTTTTATGATTCACAATAACATATTTCTCTACATTTTTTCTGTAATAACAAAGATTCCCTCTATTACTTATAGATATGCAAGGATCTCAGATTCAATTTAATATAACCACAACATTAACCTTCCTCGTCGTTAACCTCCAATATTATAACATGTGCTTAATGCTTGGGATAAGCATGATGAATAATTAGGCAAATCCTCAAGAAAAATTGAGAAAGATAATCAGCAATATTTGACATTACTTACATATTTGTTCTTCGACTTCAAATCCACAAACTCATCGTTTCCTTTGGTATGTGTCTTTTTCAAAAGTTCGTGCAGATGAGGTGGCAGGCCAAGTACAATTGCCTAAAATTGAAATCACATCTATCAAAGTTATTACATCAGTATAACTTTGAAAAAACTATAACTTGACAGAATGAAAATGATTGTACCATTTGTCTTGCATGCTCTCAGTGAGTCTGGGAGCCTCCAGTATGGCGTGAGCCGTGAGGGACCAGATCCTTCACCACATTTTTCACTTAGTCGATTTTTTGAACATTTTGCAGATTTAGCCTTAAAATTCTCAGTATCATAGTGAGGCTTCCAGCTCTCCCAAATAGATTTTGGGATATTTTTTCGTTTCACCTCAGAGGATCTTGCTTCACATAACATGCCCTTGTATTGTATTGAACTTTTTTTTCATAAAATGATCCTTTATGGAACCTTCAATTGCAGTATTCCAATGGAATCGCTTCTGTTTAAAAAGATGAAGAAAAATATCACATGAATTGATATAACAAAAATTCTGAATGAATAAATTCATTACAAAATGACAGTAAAATAGAATTTATGGGTAGAATGGGTACATGAATATTATAGTAGAATGAGACACAATCATGTATGAGACGATGTACCAAACCAAGCATCATGGGTGTTGAAAAAAGATCGGAAAGGGCAGAAGTATATTGAAGAATCTGGGAAGAATGTGGCTGAACTGGGAAGTATAGCCAAGTTCTCTGTTAGGAAATTATATGTGCAGTGTAGAGAAAATTACCAAAAAGTCCCATGAAAGAGGTTAACCCGCAATAACAGTGGTCCGCCTAAATGGACCTTCATTCGGTACTTGGCTATACTGGACAATTATACACCAAAGATAGGCTTCTTGGCTGGGGCATTGTTGATCATATGAGTTGTTCAATGTGCGGAGATGCACATGAAACTATAGAGCACTTGTTTTTTCCATAGTCCATCCCACAGCGTATGGGCTAAGTTTTTAGAGTGGCAGGGCATAACAGCAACTCCTAGGGGATGGAAGGATGAAGTAGACTAGGCAAGTAAGTTAATGAAAGCCAAGAGTCCCAAAACAGAAATCTACAGAACTGTCTTGGCTGGTAGTGTATACGATATTTGGATGGAAAGGAATAAACGTGTTTTCAAAGGTACACTAAGACGACCTACAACCATAGTTAGACAAGTTATCCAAACGGTGTTCCAGAAGAGTAATAACAATAAAAAATTGGCTACACTGTTAGAAACTTTTTTTTTTGCCAGGTGAACTACTTTGCAGGCTTAAGCAATCTGGATAGTTGTTGTTTGATTCTTCCTAAAACGAGTCAACGAGAATTCAAGTCTAACATATATGTACATAATCTTGTCGCAACTAATATACAAAATGTCATGCTATATATTCTAAACGTGGAAAGGTTTCCAAGGTGTTGGAGATCGATTCTCCAGTGATTGCAATCTTTGTTTTAATTGGAAAACTTCAACCTGCAACTAGAAAGCTCTTATCCTTTCTCCAGCAAGGACTCCCCCTTTTGTATGCAGTTCCTTCTGTGTATCATCCATAATTACCTTGAGGAAAGCCACATCATGCTCAAGTCTGGCATTATCCACATAAGAGGTAGTAGTACCATTAACTGGCTGAGAAGCAGGCCCAGTGGATGTCAAACGATTCCCAGATAGCAAGTTCCCAGTAGCTTTACTTAAGCTTG